CCCTAAACTCCAGATCCTAAACCCTAAAACCCTAAACACTAAAACCCTAAACACTAAAACCCCAAACCCTGAAACCCTAGACCCTAAACCCTAAAACCCTAAAAGCCTATAGCCCCCCCCAGCCCGAAGCCCTAAACTGCCATGGACCCCTCACAGAACCCCGGTAAAATCCTCAAGAAACCACGGTTTAGGGTTTAGGGTTTAGGGTTTAGGGCTTAAAAGAAGATTCCCCTAAACCCTAAAACCCAAAACCCTAAAACCCTAAACCCTAAACCCTAAAACCCAAAACCCAAAAACCCTAAAAGCCTAAACCCGAAACCCTGGACCCTCAAAACTCACCGCCCTAAACCCTAAACCCTAAACCCTAAACCCTAAACCCTAAACCGCCGGGTCTCCAAGAAGGGCTCTAGGGCTTGCTCCAGAGAGTTTTGCGCGGAGTGGGACTCGAGGCTTGCCTGGGTAATGTAGGGAAAAGGGTTTAGGGTTTAGGGTTTAGGGTTTAGGGTTTAGGGTTTAGGGTTTAGGGTTTTCCTACCCAAAAGGGTTTAGGGGTTAGGGAAAAGGGTCCATCTACAGATATAGTAGATAGAGTTACTGTCAGGGCACCATTATACCTTTTTTTGGAATAGGGTTTTGGGGCCCGTTCTAGTATAAGTATAACAAGGAGCCTCCAAAACCCTCTTCTCATTATAGGAAGGCTTGTTAAAGGGGTCTATCAGGGTTTGGGTTCATTTAAAGGGTTTCTTTAAGGGCTCTGTTAAGGGATCTATAGGGCTTAGGGTCACTTAGGCTCCGTTAAGGGATCTATCGGGTTTAGGGTTTAGGATGGTTTCGGGGTTCCCCTTTAAGGGGACGATTGGCTTCCCCCTCAAGGTGCCCTTCGGGGTTCCTTTAAGGGTTTAGGGTTTAGGGTTTAGTGTCTACTTGGAGGTTCATGGGGCTTTGTATGTACAGTTGGGGTTCAGGGTTCATAGGACACCCAAAAAGCACATAAGCAAAAATTATGATAGGGATATCCCATATAAATCCCCTTGTAATGAAGCCCAACAAGGTAGGGATATCCCTATAAAATGCTTATGCTTATGTCCTTTTTTGGGTCCCTGGGTTCAGGGTTTAGGGCTTAGGGTTGGAGGTTCATGGGGCTTAGTAACTTCGAGGCTTCCTTAAAGGGATCTTTAGTGGTCTGTATAGGGCCTCTATACAGGAACTATAAGGGTTCTATAGGGGGTTTATGGTTCAGGAGACTCAGTATTAGTTCTAGGTATATACGTTAACTGGGATTATACTTCATTTATAAGTATAGCTACCTTGCTTGAAATCCTAGCTATTAATTAAGTCCCGTGAACCTTCCAGTGCTTGTCACCAAAGGTTGTAGTAGCTCCCGAACGGTTTTCAAAGTTTCCTACTCGAACCGGGTGGGGCTTAGGGTTTCAGGGTCCAAGGCCTTGGGCTTAAAAGCTTACAGTTTAAGGTGTTAGATGTCCAGTTATTTTTGTTTTTTGGGTGACGGGAGGGGCGGTTGGGATTTACGGCTTACACCAAAAGAAGCACAGAGGATTTTATGACATTGGTTTCCAACATGTGGGTCTGCTTCTTTGGCTTTTGTTATCTGGCTTTACAAGTTTATCTTTCTGAGCTTAGTGGTGTGACGGGTGGAATGCCAACTATTGAGCTATATTCCGGCTACCCTAAACCCTGAAACCCTAAAGCCCTAAACCCTGAAACTCTTAGCCTAAACCCTAAAACCCAAAGCCCTAAATCCTAAAATTTAGGGATTTGGGTTTGGTTTAGAACTGTGGGTTTAAGTGGGTTAAACCCTAAACCCCAAACACTCTCAAACCCCAAAGCGAGTCAGTCGCATTGCCAGGATCGCGGGCTAGCTCCACCGAGCCTTCCGTGAACTCGGACTCGACCTCGAGAGGCAGAACAACACACGTAAGGCTTAGGGTTTAGGGTTTAGGGTTTAGGAGCCTTAGGAATCATAACAGGGTTCTTCTTTTCAGGGGTTCTCGAATCGGTTCTTGACTGGTATCTTAGGCGTTGAGTATAGGGGCCTTAATGATTCCGAACAGGGTTTTGCCTAAGGAACGGTAACACCAATTATTCAGGCTTCTATTTTACAGGGCAGCTAATACGATAGAAGCCTAAATAATTGCCAATATTATTCTTTAGGCCTCCTTATTATAGTTATACTCTAAAGGAGCTAATTATTGAGGCTCCTACATTAAGATGGGGGCCTTAACTGTTAGACTGGGAATTTGTGGCTTTCTAAACGTAGTATGGGTACTGATAGGGATTGATGACACAGTCCTGAAAAAGTAGAGCAAGGGGGCATGGAATATGTTAGCACAGTATAGCATTGTATAGCACAGTACAGTACAAAATAGTGTGTGTTAGGATAGTAGAGTAGGGTATAGCCAGGCATACTGTCATACTCTGACTCGCTAACTATCCAGCCACTATTTCACCAGTGAGGATTTGGACCATGCGCGGGAGGGCAAACCTGGTTTTTGGACTGAAAGCAATGACACGAAACACTAACACCATGCCCTAAACCCTAAACGACCGAGTTTTTAGAAACCCGACAACAACCCAAAACCCACACAAGCCCTACACAGGAATCTCAAGCTCGCCACCGGCAACCTCTATGGGTATATATATATATATACATATGTGTCTTTACATCCCACATACATACATACATACATACATACAGACAGACAGACAGACAGACAGACAGACAGACAGACAGACAGACAGACAGATCTATCTACATACGTGTGCATATGTACATATATATATATATATGATGTGGAGTATTCCCGTATGATGACCTTCCAGTTAGCGTCTCGGATTAGGATTGATGCTGTTTGGAGTAGGGTTCAGGGTTCGTCGCTTAGGCTTTTGAATAAGGCTTATATGGTTTAGTATAAACCCTAGACCCAGAACCCATTTAGGAGCAAGATTTGGTGTTGAGGAGTTTAGGGTTTAGAGATCCAGAAATCAAACAAACCCTAAACCCTAAACCCTAAACCCCTAAACCCTAAACCCTAAGCATCAAACTCTTCAACCGACACCTCGCAAG